TCAGAACAAAGTCGTGAGAGAATTAGAAGTAGTCTACTAATTGTATTTGTTTGTACACATCAATTTTTGTTTTGTCTAAATATCTAATTAAATTATTTGGATTATAAAATCTTCATACTGTAAATAAAAAACCAAGGATATAATACAAAGCAATACATTTATCTCATGAAAAAAGTTGAAGAAATATAACCAATATACTAGTATTATTTGATGCGCAGAGACAACATTTATTTTTAATTAAAAATTGATATGATATAATATCCTCAAGTTCCAATGAGCGTAATCGACAAGAATTTAACTTATGCTATGATTACATACGGAAGAACAGTCAGCGAAACCTTCTTATTTTATTTGATATATATATTCTAATGAAACATTTCACATTATAAATAATTTCGTATTTTATGTAAGATTCAATTTCTCTCACATAGAACTGCTTTTTAACATAATATTCATTAATGAAGTTGTGCTTTTTTATCTGATTCTTTTTCCTGAAAATTGATAAAAATATTTTCAATCTTATTTAATACCAATTCGAAAGAAGAATAAGGTTGTACAACCCAGTGTCTATACAAAGTACAAAATAAATATTTATTGACATTAATCACTATGAAAAAGTCAGCGAAGATACTATGGAATAGAATAGTTTTCGTATTTGAGAAAGATATTCATAATAAATGCGTCCTGTTTTTAGATTAAAATTCATACCCTGTAATGAGTCTCTTCTAGTCATTTATTTGGTTCACAACCTTGCAATTAGTTTATTTTTATTCTTTATTAAATTTCATTGTATTACGGATATATTTAGAAAAAGAAATCGCTCGTAATGATTTGATCAATAATGTTATTATGTTATTTATTTGAAGATGATTGAGAGAGATGCACTTTTATGTTTTTAGAAAAGATCAGTTCATCTTTACTTTCATCAAGTGAATATTTTCTTTTTCATTGAACATCATCATTGATGTAAATACTGTTTTCTGTAAGGTAGATTATCAGTCTAGTGTAATCTAGAGGAAATGAAAATGTTCTTATTACATATTTTTCTTCCGGAAATCTCCCTAGTCTTTTTTTGAATTTCTAATAATTTGTTGTTCTTTTAGTTTTCAGATTTTCTTCATGAATTCTTTTAGTTGCTAAGTCAACTGGAAGTTAACATATCAAAACAGTCGTGTTTTTCTCAATCTTAAGTCTCATGTAGTACTAATATTCATGTAACTCAGATTATTGAAGAAAATTTGAATATAACACGTAAAATTTAGATAGGATTTACAGGACTTGCATACTCCGCAACAATGAAATAGATACTAAAAAGTTTAAATACATAAGATCTCTTTTCTTTGGATTACTTTTATTCTCGACAACTGTCCAGCTAACAGCCTCAAAATAAATCAATTAAATAATTTTACGGGGAAATAGAAGTGACCTTACAAGCTTCTGAGAAACTTTTAGAATTCCATGGACTTATTTATTAACGATACAATGCAAATATTCACAATCGATTAAGGACAAATTGAAAAAAAAAACAAAACATACGTAATAACGACTATCGGGTCGCCAGATGTTATCAAACTCAAACATTTACAAAACAACATAAACAAATAAAAAAAAATTAGTCATCACAATACACTGGACCGGAGATAGGCAAAGATGAAAATAAGAATGATTCTAGTTGAAATATCGGGAAACGAACAATTGTAACTGATACTTTCAATATTAATTCTTCTGTTTACTTGTTTTGAGTGCATACATTCGTAATTCGATATTCCGATCAGAAATTGAAACAAACTGTTAAGAAGAATAATGGATAGCATTCAAGAAAAATATTCACTCCCTCAGGTCTCTATCAAAATTTAAGCGGAATGTTTCAAAACTCGAATGCACAAAGTTCATTAGGATATTGATCGTTTACAAAAAAAAACAGATAACGTTCACACAAGCATAACTGTTCTAGAAAAGTTATTGTTGCTGTTTTGGCAAAGAGAGACTGTTGATCATTGATAACTTAACAGTTTCATGTCTGTAAGTTTTGATAGAATATAAAGAGTTTTTAATTCTCGTCGACAGAAAAAATAAAATCATATTATCTATTGATATGTATGCTGGGTTAATATCCTTCAAAACCAAGATGTATCTTTCGAAGCTCATATTAATGGGTCATGTTCGTCTTTCGTCTGTGTAGATAATCCGATGTGATTTTAGTTTCATTTTCTATTTTATGTTAAAGAAAACTGCTTGCTAGATAGTGTATAATTCACGATAAGAAATGGCTAATCGCTTCAAATAAGGATCGATGGTTATTCGTTCACAGATTAACATGAAACAATTAGTTTCTACTTCGTTATAAAACTAACACGATTCTTTCTAATAAGACAGTTACATCAATGCTTACGAATCCTCAATTTTGATAGAACAGAAAATGTTCCTTGGCAGGATTGAAACGCACTGGTCGAGAGCAACATAAACATGCCCACAGAAGAACGAAGCGAACAAAAGAAGAAAGCTCACTAGAAGCAACGACATTATGTTACTGATATTAAAAGATGAATAACCGAGAATTTTCAGAATGACATAAGTGTGCATTTTATTCGAATTGATCATTGTGTTCTAATGCGTGAGTTATAAAGGAATTGTTTTTGAAGACCGAACATAATTGTTAATTTTGGGTGGATTGTCTTGATTCAGCCGTCGATCTGAATCGATCCAACATCACGTTACTGGTTTCTTTGGGTAGGTGAATGAGTGAAAATAAGACTTACATCTTCACCGAACACCCTCTTTAACCCCAAGAAGTTTTGTTTCTCTCAATCAATAACTTTGAAACTTTTTCGTTGGTCAGATGTTCAAGAACTGGAAAAAGAACCTAACTAACTGTTGGTTTTAGTTGAACTGAATATTCATTTTGTGGATGTAGAGAATGATCAATAATATCGAAATTAATCAATTGTTTCTTTTCTCTCACATGAATATAGTTGTACTCACACATCTCTTAAATGGAAAGATGCTTAAAGAATCTTTACTCAGAAGTAAACCAGACGTCAAATCGATTCTACAAGTCTGCCACTAAAACCGAAGATATTTCCTACTTGATACTGACTGAATAGTCAAAGGCGAACATCGGACTTCTTGTGAAAATGGTCCACTCTTACGGGTCTCAGTGCTATGTATCTAGATAAGAATTGTTCTAGTGTCACAAATCTCTTCGGCTATTTTGAGTCAGTCAGAATCAATTAGTAAAAAGCAAATTGCTATGTAATCGATCAGATACAGTCAGCCTTCTATACTGCCTCACCTTTACCTCTCAAGAGTAATACAACAGGATGATAAGAAAAAGTTTATCAAACATAACGTTATTACGCATTTGTATTTTTTATTGTTTTCTTCTACGACGCAGCAAATGATACATTCCAGATCTTTTAATCACGAGAAACAATATTCAACACAAAAGTGCCATATATCAGTTACATATGTCCTTTAATTCATAATGTTTGGACAGTATGATCGAGCAGTTTATGACAACGATTTATGGGACTATTTTTCGTAGGTTCGAATCTTACGGCTATCATCCTTATTATTATTTTATTCCAAGGTTAAATTCTTTATGTCATACTATTACTTCTTTCTTGTGACTTAGCTTAAGCTTCAACAGATCTGGAGAAATTAAAACCTTGATAACAGTTTATATCATTTCGATAAAAGATATCGATTTATATAAATCTATTTTCGAAATTCATGTTTTTTGAGTATGGATGACGTGAAATTTCGCATCCACGTGCATTCATGTACCCCATCTCCTACAGCTTTGCCCTGGCTATCTTACCACCATATATGTGTATAATCCTATACGTTAATTATAGTTGAACATAAAGGATCGTATATGACGACCATTTTCTGGCTATATTTCGTTGTAAGCAGGCATTATCGATTCGTGTATTTTTAATATAACTTGAGAGAAGTGATAGACATTCGAAGACTGAATAACATTACTAGCAACGAACTGATTTGTTTATTTTATTTGTTTCTTCGACAAGTACTATCTTTCTGCTTGACTTCCATATCTAACAAAACAAGTTTCTTGTGTTTGTAATCTACATCATTTCCTTTTTTCATCCATAAAACTGTATGAATTAAAATCTGAAAAATAGATCGCTCTGATGGTTATGAACATCTGTGATCGTTGATAAATGCAAATACTAGGCCTTAAAAACATTTTAAATTCATCACTCGAAATAAAAATTGTTGTTTTTATATAAGGATAGTAGATGATGTTTTGTGTCGTAGAATCTTCCACTTTGATGTTACTTTAAATTCAACTAAACTAAAGACTTTACCTAAAAGCTTTGTTGTCGCTGAAATTCACTATTTCTCATATTAAATACCTCCAGCAAAAACAAAGTATTCAAGGAACTCAAAATTTTAAAAAAGTATTGCTTTTGCACCTTATTGGAAAAAATAATGTGTCTTGATAGTACTCTGTAAAGTAAAAAAAAAAGTCTTTTACTTATTTATTGTGGTATCATTAGAAAGTTTATTGTTTTCCTCCTGTTTAGATATTCTGAGTTCAGGTGAAATTACACAATATTTTTTTTCCTTTATTCTTATCACATCAGTCATTGAAATTTCTCTTTTCTTTTTTCTTATTTTAGATGTAATAAAATTGCTTTTTATTTTCAACAATACATAATCATGAACATGTTAAAATTCTTGTCTATCAATATTTTTTTTTGAGAATTACTAGTCTACTGATAAGTTGCGTATTCGTAAGAAGAAAATATTGGTTTCTCTTCAATAAAAATAAAAGATGCGGTGTTTTTTCCTATTGGAAATACATTTCTACAAGGTTATGGTTTTTTAATTGGTCAAATGATTAACCAATGAAAAGTTTCTTTCGAAGAGGTTTTTATGATGTTTATAAAGATTGATTTATGGTCGATACAAACAAACGAAATCCGATTGTGTACAAAATTGTTTTATTGAATTAAAAAAAAAGAAAAAGAAAAATGAATGATGATCTTATTCAAACAATAATAAATGATGATCGTCAACGTTTTTTACTTGATCTTGAATTTGTTCAAACATTAGCAAATCCTCAATATTTAAATTTTTTGGCTCAAAGAAATTATTTTAAAAATCCAGCATTTATTAATTATTTAAAATATTTACTTTATTTTAAAGAAGATAATTATATAAAATATATTCATTATCCTCAAGCACTTTATTTTCTTGATTTATTACAACGTGAACAATTTCGACAAGAACTTGTTAATGCAACATATTGTCGATATATAGAAGATCAACAATTACTTGCATGGCAACGACTTCAACGTCGAAAGAATCAACTATTAAATAATGCTGCCGGAATAACAACAACAAATAATAATAATAATAATGAAACAGAAACTACAAATCCACAGAATAGCACAAATGCAATATCAACATCAACAACAGCAAACAACACTCAACTTCGTTAAAAAATTATAAATAGATATTTTCCTTTTTTTTTTCAAATATAGTTAAAACTTCTTTTTTGTTTTTTTGTCTTTAACGAAATGAATTTCTTGAAAAGAAATTCTATTCTGAAGAAATATATATATATTATATACATATGGTCAATTTAAAAAAGAAGTGTTTGTTCTCATTGAATTGTCTATTGTACATATTATTTTCATTATTTCAGATAAATAATAATATGACGTCAATTGATGATGGAACATCAGCTTCTTCTCCAACAAATGCACTTATTTTACCTAATATTATTTATCCTGTAATTGAACAACTTGATAAATCTGGATATAAAGATATTCAAAATGATTTACGTACAACATTTTTTAAACTTGAAGAATTATATCCAGGTTTTTCTCGTAGTTTTCTTCAATCATTTATAAATAAAGAAATGCCATCTTTATCATCAACAATAAATATGAATGAATTAACACTTAAATTAGAAAAATATTGTGATAAATCATCATATTTTATATCATCATCACGTAGTGAACAAGAATTTCATGAATTAAATATTCGTTCAAAAAATCTCAAACGTATATTAAGTCGTATTCCTGATGATATTAATGAAAAACGTGAATTTCTTGAAACAATTAAAGAAATAGCAAGTGCAATTAAAAAAACACTTGATAGTGTATCAAATACATATCAATATTTTAAAACAGCTGATGGACGACAAGCATTAGAAAATGAAAAAAAAGAATTTATTAAATATAGTAAAAATTTTAGTAATACATTAAAAGCTTATTTTCGAGATAGTAAACGTGATGATGTTTATATAGCAGCAAATCATTTACTTGTTCAAACAGATTATTTATTACGTACTATAAAACTTTATTGTGAAACTGATACACTTGATGACTGCTTATATCCATTATTATCTCATCATCAAAATCAATCTCGTTTAATTCCATCATCACGTTATTCATCGAATAGCAATCAACAACATCATAATATAAGACAATCATCATCATCATCATCATCATCATCTGGAAATAATCGACCGACTTCATCATACGAAACTGGTTATACTTGAAAGATAATTTCGATTAGAATAAACAATATGTAAACTAAAAACATTTTATCTCCGTCTTTATATGTACAATTTGTCTTCTATTTATTATGTATGTATGAGAAAAAATGTGGGAAAAAAGAACTTGCTAAAATTGTCTTCCATATACGTATGTACAATAGGATTTGTTCTATTATAGAATGATTCTTGTTTATTAGAACAAGAAAAGAAAATAATATTCAAATATTTGTTTATTCATTTTATTTTTTAATTTTTTTTTTATTACTCATAGAAAGTCTAAATGAAGTCACACCCATTTATATCTGGAACAGAAACGAAAGATAACAATGATTTTCATTCTTTTTATTCTTCTGTTGAGATTGTGACTAGAAAGTGAAAATTATAGGTTAATATGACTTTTACTGCCAGTGATTAATCATGACAGCAGAAAAAAGTTTATAAATACCGTATCTTATAGCTATTGGAAAAGGAAAGAAAGTGGAAAAAGAAAATATAAAAACAAGGACATGTGCATTGAAGTATGGACGTATGGGCACATGCATCAGCTCGCCAATAATAGTTAACTAATGCTGATATATAGTAAAGAATAAAAGAACGTTAGGGTGGCGAACGACAAAAAGAAACAAAATCTGCCCCCTCTTCTGTTTTTTTTTTCTATTGGCAAGTACTATAGCAATAACGGACTAGCTTTTAGACTCGTCCTTTTCTTTTTTCTTCTCATTTCTCTCGTTTTCTTTTCTATTAATTCGGCAGCAGTTTTTCATGATTGCTACAATAAAATATGATGCATGGTCGAGTTCACTATCTGTTTTTTTTTTGTTCGGAAATACACGTTCATACGATTAATTTATACTAGATGACTTTAAGGTCAATCGAATGAGAAGATGTTTTTTTTTTCTTTGCTATTATAATATCATATTCTATTAAAATTTTTATTTACACAGAGTCATTTTATTATCTAGAAAAGATACACATTGACTTTAACCTGTCTATCAGGCTGTTTTTTGTCTTTTTGTTAATATTTAAGATTGAAATACGAACAATAACAAAGACAATTTATTTTAATAAATAAACGAAAATGCCATCTTCATCTAATGTAGATAATCGTACTTTTAAACAACGCAAAAGTTTTGGTAAATATATTATTGTTTTATTTATAAGATTGTTTGATCTCTTTTGTTTCTCTTCAAAGCAACACGCAAAGAAGAAGTATCTGGTATTAGAAATAAATTTCCGAATAGTAAGCTTCTTTTCTTGATATTGTTAATTAAAAACTAAATAACTTTTGTTCTTTTAGAAATTCCAGTTATCGTTGAACGATATCATAAAGAAAAAAATTTGCCCATTCTCGGTAAATGAAATTAATTCTTCGATATTATTTGTTATTTTGTATTTTTTTTAGATAAAACTAAATTTTTAGTGCCACAAGAATTAACAATGTCTCAATTTGTGACAATAATTCGGTAAGTAAAAGTATTTCAACAATAAAGCATTTTGAAAAGATGAAAACAATAATTAATTAGAAATCGAATGCAACTAAACGCTAATCAAGCATTTTATTTATTGGTTAATAATAAAAGTATTGCTTCAATGTCAACGTCTATGGCAGAAATTTATCGTGATGACAAAGTAATTTTACAAATATTTCATAATATAAGAAACAATTGTTTTTTCTTTTTTTTCAAGGATGACGATGGATTTCTTTATATGACTTATGCAAGTCAAGAAATGTTTGGTGGAATTTATTAATAAATTAAGCAATTCTGTTTATAAATATATATATATATATCTTTTTTTTTTTTTTTGCTGTTGTTTGTCGTTGAAATGTTTTTTTTTCCTCTATAAAAAAAATCACACCATCTTTTTTGCTTATCATACTAAGAGCAACCGGTGAACAGGAAAAGAAAAAAAAAATATCATATTATCAATGTGCAATTTAAAAATATCTATTTTTGTCATAAAAGAAAAAAAATGAATTATCAACTTCAATGTATATATCGTGGGCTACAACTTTTTTCTTGCTGTCTTCGGTCATTGTGTTACTATTGTGCATTTTTATTTCCTATTTTTTTTTCTTTGTATGTGTTGTCATCTCTTTTTTTTTTTTGCTATTGATATGTATTAGTCATAAATCTGTTTTATTATGTATTTTACGAAAGAGAGGAAAATATACAAACACTTATAAATGCATAGTTTGTGTTTTTCTTTTCATTTTATTTGATAAGAAATTTCAAAATTACAAAGGTTGATTTTTATTGGTAATGCAAATTCGAGAAAATCATGACATGTTGTATATAGAATTCATTGTAGTTCATTAGCATTTCAAATAATGAAATTCGATTCTTTCTCTTGAAAGATTTGATAATTACATTTTTTTATGCCATGAAAAATAACAACAGTTCTTTTGAACGAATGCTATTAAAAGAAAAATTTTGATCTGGGTTAAGTCAAAGTGGACATGTAACCTATGTTAACTATTGCGATTACTTTTTCAACATGTGTTCTCGTTGAAAAATTTTTAGTTTCTAGTAAGATTAGTTAGTTTTTGTCAATCTCTCGAGATCGTTAGGAATTCGATATGTCTTGTTTCTTTGTTTTTTGTGACAGCTACATTTTGCTTATAGGTAATGGATTCGTTTGCAAGCTAGAAAAATGAGATCATGCTTTATTAGAGATTTAAAAAAAGAACTCCTAATGGTGATATGAAACTTTGCTTACGAGTAGAATGAGAGTTTTTAATATTGAGACCTCATTAAAAGTCTAAGAAATTACTTTGTTCTTCATAATGTGATCACAATAGTTTAAAGTTACTTTTAATTAATTTTTCTTCTCTATCCATAAGATTAATACCGATCTATAGATCTTATTTTTCGTGACCAGAAATAAGAGTCAGTTGATTGATTCGAATATGTACTTGAATTAAAAATAACGTAGACTATATGCCATTAGTTTTCTTACATAACTATTACGACAATAGTTGAAATTTCCTAGATAGTTTTGTAAAAAATAATATGTTTATGCTTTTTTTTTTCTTTGAGAAACAACAATGAAAAAGATAGCCGAATATTTTAGATTAAATTCTTGTCAAACACAATGTTTCACAAATACAATTCATTTACAAATACACTTTCACCATCGGATCAAATATCTGCTTATATACCACAAGTTAGAAATTTAAATCATTAATTAAAAAGAAATTAGTGTGTTTTTCTTTTCGTCTGTCGTAGAGTTTTGGTACTAAAGAAACAATAAATAATTTTTTCCTTGCTCCACAACCGAAAGGTCGTCACTCCGGTGGCTCCCCATCACATTCAGACAGTAATGTAGCTAGTTCTAAAAGTTCAATCGTCGGTCTTATTACGAGTAAGAGCGGTGCTACTAGCTCGGCTCCGGCGGCAAAAGCTCATACAGTAGCTACCTCGTCTGCTAGTCATGCAACTGCTGGTCATGGTCATCATTCACATGCTGCTCCATGGGAAGGTGTCAATCTTTGGCGAACACCATTTAAAGGTGATACTGATACAGTTACACATGTAAAACGTAACAAAGGAACACTTGATCAATATGTTGAAAGTCGTGTTCGTCGTATCCAACAATTGCAACTCTTGGCATTAGTACATATTATTTATAATATTTTGAGTAACAGTAATCAATCATTTGAATTTTTGTATTTAGCGTAATAAGACTACACCTACTTGGGTAATGATGCCAAGAGACAAGTTACTTCTTGCAGCACAAGGTGCTATTGTTGCTTATGTTCTTTATGAAGTAACCTCGACTGTATACAATCATTTGAAAGCCAAAGATCGTCTTAAACGTAATTATCAATATTATATTTTTCTATTTCCTAGACTAAAAGGATAGAGTCTAGAAACGGAAATTCATGTGTGTCTGTACCATAGTTGTTATATCGGTAACTATGGCACAAATGATCATTGAGTTATAATCAAAATGAGCATTGATTAACTGTGTCCCACGTAACCAACTCGTAACTATGACGAAAAACAGCGATTTAGTAATTATGGTATAATTGAGCGCCTAATAATAATGATTCAAACCGTCGGAAAAGATTATAAAGACATTAAACATCTAACTATTGCTGCTAAAATTAACAGACTAGTATGATCTATATAAAAGTTAAGTTAACGAGTATTCTTAATAAATTATTAAGTCTAATTGAAGTTGAACATAGAATAATGAGAAACGAAAGTCTTCTTTTTAAACTCCGTAATAAAACTAATATCATAAAAATTCGTTTTGACTAAAACTGATGCTAATATAAAGTAATTAAAAAAACTCGTCCGTAACTTTGTTATAATTATTATTAGAAAGATGAATATCAATACAAATAGAAAAAATTCGTCGCATCAAGGTACTTTCTTTAATAATCTAGAATAGCAAATATGAAGAATGGAATTTATTTGAAGTATGTAAGATAATCTCACAAAGTAAAAAGTATGAGTAAATTGTTTAAATATGCAAATTTTTCAAAGGAATAAAAAATAACCTTTCCGTAATTCGTAATAATAGTATCATGCATATGCCAAAAACTAGTCAGTTATGATAAAGATAACCATTTTTTTATATTATGTGACTCACTATTGAGATTAATGTCGATGAGAAGATAAATTTTATTTTCATGCGTGTCTACATCTAAAAGCAACTGCATGAACATCCATATGCCGTCAGTTTAGTAATAAGTGATCGACTCTTGATGAAGGTTACTTAATTATTTTCTTGTTTATTTATTTTAGTTATGAAATTGCTCTACAAAGATACCGTCGATTAATCTATTTTTCCCAAGTTTATTCAAAATATTGGTTCCTCTTTCTAAATTTCTCCATCTCTTACTTTTTTTTCTTCCTCTCCAACAAATGTTTATTTCTAGTTTTTCTTGTTTTTTTTTTTCAAATAAACATCGTAGATTAAATGTCTTATTTTGAATAGATTTGATTTAATAATCATAGCAAACAAACAAAAATATGAACCTAGTTTATTTTTTAGTTACACAAAAAAAAAAGTATGTTTATATCAATGTGGATTGTATAACGATGAACTACTATCTATTAATATATAGATAAGTAAAATGAAGATTTTTATTTTTATGTCGTCTTTCTTTTCGTCATCATGTAGATTAATAAATCTTGTTTGATTTTTGGTGTTGACATTCGATCACTTTACATCTGATAAAAATGAAACAAAGTAGACCGTTCTGGTACCATTTAAAATAATTATGAAAATATAGTCCATGGATTAATTTAAAGAATAAAAATTTACTTTGATGAACAAGAAGAATAGTCATAACTAATACATAAAAACAAACTCGGCAATATACGTGTAGATGTTCTTGAAATGAATATTAGCATCTACACCGGCAATTTTTTTTGTGATTAAAAAAAATTTTGTTTTTTTCAAATCAATGTGAGAGAAAAATGAAAGTCTGCAAACCGCTGAGATCATTACTATTTCAATGGCATATTTGCGAAAGACGTGCTTTATGTGGGAAAATATACGATGTTGACAGAATCAATAATTTCCGGTGGAAATATCACTGCTTGACTTGTTCATCTTCTTTGAATTTCTTGATGGCAAAATTGAATCTCCGCTTGTCTGTATGTCTTCTAATAACTTTTGCTTTTTTCTGCTTATTTACTGGCGATAAATTTATTTCATTCTTAGCGTAAAAGTAGCTCAATCGATCTCGTGAAAATTGATAGGCATTTTTCTACTTAACAGCATTAGTAGTAATGGACTAGTTTTCTTATTGTGTTTGCTTCTTCAACAAATGTGCTCGTTGCTTCATTTCAAAATTGGATAAGACACTCTCTTAGTGTTTGTAATGTACATTCCTTTCAGTTCTATTCAGAAATTTTTCTCAGCTACAATGTGAACCATGCATTAGTGCTATGATGACAAGGAACTAGAAACATTGTTAAGTGCATACACTTAAGAGTAGCGGAATCTTTATTTCATCACTCTACACAAAATTCTTATAACTGTTCATTCAATTTTCATGGCACAAAAACCGTCACTTATATATGGAGTGCCTTAAAAGTCAATCGTAAAAAATAATTTAGATATATGTTAAATACTTCAAACTAGTTATATATGTATTTCATTTCAATATTGTAATATGTTCTGTCAAGTTTAATTTAATTTAATTTGATGTATCACAAATATTTAAAATAGTCTCCATCATTTGAAATATATTAATCGATCTTTTTCAAAATATTCGAAAAAATACCAGAGAAACTTCATTTTGGATTTTTTCATAGAATGGTAAAATCCAGGAATATCCTCAAGTCACATACTGTTATTTAATCACTAGCAAACACTGGTTGGTACATTGATTATATTTCATATGTTTGAATGCAAAAAAACTCTTTTCTCATAATAATTCTTAAGTGCCAAATTCCAGCTGAGGTGGACTTAATACTGGTAATATCAGTATGACAATGTCGTATTGAATGGAGAAAAGAACTCTTTCAAGCAGCCATCGCCAACTCACCATAATTAATTCCGATGTCCATAGTGTGAACCCTCTCTTCTCGCTTGTATTTTCCATCAGCATTCATAGTTTTATTATAAAATGAATAACAGTCTAGCTTTTCTCCTCATATCAACAACAAAAGAATTTTGTTCGTAATCTGATATCTTGCACTTAATATGTTTCTCAAAGTCGAAAATCATGATGCTGATCATCATTGTCTTGCTCGTCATGTTCAAATTTTGATTATACGTTTTTCTAATCATGATGATTATAATGATTGGATCAATATCGAATAATGCCAAAGCTCTAATACTCGAACGATGAGTCTTCCTTGTTGTGTACTTGACTCAATCTCACTCATATATCAATCTTAAGCAACCATTTCTGTTTATTTTCTTCACAAACAATACACTGGTAGATCATTTTCGACTCTTATGATTCTCTTGACTGCCTGTGCTTTTCATTGAGACTAGATAGGCATCCAGATTATTTCAAGTCTATTTCAAAATTAGCAAATTAATGAATATCTTATGCTTGTTAATCGTAGCCTTGTTTAGTACAGAACGTGTGAGTTGGCTCTTTTTTTTTTAATTTATGCTGTACTCTGCATAATTTTGTTACCGATGCCTTTATTTCTATACTATCACTGTGTGACTCACGCATTGTGGGTTGACCACAGAATGTTGACGTATTTCGAATTGTATCTGAATAGGAAGATGGAATGGAAGAGAGTTTCGATGTTAATAGCGACTTAGGAAGTCACGATGGAGAAAACCTGGCACTGGAGAAAAAGAAATTCAATTTCAGTGCACACAAAGCATGAACATCATTATTGAGTTTCGAGTTACGATGTTTAAAAAATCAATCAAGATTCTGCAGATGAGATCCCTTATTCAACCTTCACATTTCTCTATATATGACATACTTGTTGAGTTTTTTTATCAATTTTTTTCATACGCTAGTGATATTCTTTTAGCAATGGTGAGCAATAGATCATCTAATGATACAAGCACGCGTATCGACTAAGTATATGTCTTTTTCTTTTATTTATTTATTTTTTTTGTTTTATAAAAATTCTTGGAATTATAGTGAAGAGGCTTAGAACACGAATCCATACTTTCCTCGACTAAGGACGATTTATCGATGAAATAATGAGTTGTCGACAGGACTTTCTAAATATCAAATATGTTTCAAAGGTATTAGAGTGTTTTCATCATAAACGATCAATCGTCCAGAGCTTAATCTCTCAGAAATCGAAAGCATAAATGTATTTCGCATACGCATGCATCTGGCAACCTTACATAGATGAGTTCACTAATACTTTTCAAGACTTTGACATGATCGCTCACTAGCGCAAACAACGATATTTGAAATGATCTCAAGTGAGTGTGAGTACTCGGTTACAAACTAATTCATTTCCGCAGATCGTCTAGAGTACTTTGAACTTACTTCTTCGACATGGAAGGATATCACTAAATCTAAAGATTTTATATTATACAGTCACCTTAAATTCTTCTTTCTAAAAAGAGCATTATATTAAAAAAAATAACACTGAGAAACATCCGTACACAATCTTCTGGAAGTGAAATCACGTGTTATCACCACAATATTTTCAGCATGTTATTTGTCTTCATAAAGTCCATGGCAGCTTCTCTTTCTTGTTGTCTAATATGATTGTACTTAAGATTGAGTGTAGTGAGTGTCTATGTGAAAAGTCGAGATGCCGAAGAGTCCAATGAGTAGAAAATGGTGTTTTACTGCATTTTTTATCAGGGCATTGGCAATATGTTGTGCTCCTTCGTCTCGAATATGATTCCGTTCAAGGTTGAGTGTGATAAGTGTCTGTGTGAAAGCCAAAATAGTGAAGAACGAAATAAGTAGAAGATGCTGATTTACCGTGTTGTCAGTGAGTGCATTGGCAAGATCTTGTACTCCTTCATTTCCGATTTCATTATCGCCAAGATCGAGTGTAGTTAGTGTCTGTGTCAAAAGTCAAGATATCGATAGTCGAATAGATATAAAACGATATTTTACCATATTGTGAGTGAGAGCATGGGCAAGATGTCGTGCTCCTTCGTCCCGAATTTCATTTTCCGTAAGGTTAAGTGTGGTAAGTGTCTATGTAAATAGTGAAGAATAGTAAATAGGAAAATTAGTGGCGAAAAAGTGTTTTACCGTGTTGTAGGTCAGAGCATCAGCGAGATACTGTGCCCCGTTGTCTCCGATTCGATTACATCTAAGATTGAGTATAGTGAGTGCCTGTAAGAAAATTTGAGACTGCGAAGAGTGAGATGACAATAAAACAATGTGTTACCGTGTTCTTAGTGAGAGCATTAGCAAGATATTGCGCCCCTTCGCCTCCGATTTCATTATC